TAATACCGGTAAAAAGAATGTCACGCCATAGTCGCTATAATAAAAACGTAGGTTGGAGAAGTAACTTTACCAAATTACTTTTTTTAATAAAAAATTATTTCGATAATCCCTACCCTGGAAGTCGTAGCAACAGGTTCCATTTCTACACTTATGAAACACTTCGATCGGGCAATGAAGTATGCCGACCGGTTTTGCCCTAAGGAAGTTTGGATCGTGCATTTCTCTAGGGAGGATTCTATTGTATCCGACCCATTCTGGCCCTGTGAGAAGCTTCAAGATAGAAGATTAAATATCATACATATCTGGCACGATGAGGGATTTGAGAACGTGCGAATAAGTACCAGGTTTCGGGGTATCGATAGCGAGTTTCACGAAATAATAGATGAGCGAATTTTGCCTTAATTTACTCATTAACCATTAATGGAGTTTCGCCTAAAAAGGCTTGTACAAATCTCAAATCAAATTATTCGTTTATCATGTATTTTTGCGTGCAAACTTTTTTGTGCAAAATTATATCTAATAAATGATCCATTCCGACTATGATCATATTACTGATAAACTTCCAGGCAGTCATGTTAAAAAAGCGTACCACAAGTTTTGAATCACTCTAAAGTTCCTGTCCCATTAGAATTAATTTAATCGTACCACAGGTTTTGAATCACTCTAAAGTTCCTGTCCCATTAGAATTAATTTAATCGAATTGATTCATATTTATGCCATATATTAGGGGTTGAAAAGAATGAATAAGGCTTTTATTTATTATGAACAATCAACTAATATCAAGTTGGTATTTAGCAGATAACGAAAGTTATTCCCCGTCTCACTATGATCGTATGACAGAATTTTCGTGTTATGAATCATAATTTTTATCACAGATTTATTTTTTTTTTTTTCTTATTAGTTATTTCCCCGATTTTTTATTTGTTACTTCCCGAAAATTTTAAAAATGTAAATTAGAGTTGGTACTCGAAACGAAACCTACCCGAAACTAGTTTCGGAAAGCTCTAATCCGAAACTAGTACTATATATTATTATATACATATTATAACTGTTTTTATTTTCAGGGACATGGAATATTTTCAAAATTCAAATTTTGAAATAATTTGAGATTTATTAGCTATAATAATTCCATTTTATTCTATTTTATTCTTAACGGAAATATTCTCGTTCTGGTATGTTTAATTTGTGCGAAAGTTTATGGGAAAGGAGTTTTTATTAACAAATAAATCTTGACAAGAAATATAAAAAAGGCTCCAGATATAAAACAGGCTTATAATAAACATGCCACATGAATAGGTGCTAATATTAAAAAAAGTTAGAGATATGATCAAAGAATTCGTCAACTGGTTTAAATTTAAGATTCTAAAAAATCGATAAAGCTTTTCAATCCATCCATATCTTTGAAAACCGGAAAACCGACTTTATGGAAGATTTTCTAATACCTAAACGTTTGACAATTTTATCGATGATTCTAAATTTTTTCAAAGTTTTGGAGTTTCGAGGTTTCGGAAGGAATATCAGGTTTCGGGGTTTCGGATAGGGTTTCGGGTTTCGGGTGAGGTTTCGAGTTTCGGATGAGGTTTCGGAAACTATAATTCGAAACCCGAAACTTTCGGATTTGATAAAAAAAGTTTCGGTGACCAACTCTAATGTAAATGAAGACAAAGAAATGATTAATAACATGAGTCCCTGTTATGTCGTCATATGAAACGGTGAATAACTTTATCCACCAGTCGGGAAATTTCCCCCCAGCTGCTCGCGCTGGGAAGATATTTCATTATTCCCGCCGACCCGGAAAATAAATATTTTATTAGCAAAAAAATAAAAAAAAATAAATTATTTGATGTTTTGCAAAAAATTTGTTTTATGTATTAAAACTCACTCTATTCATCTAATTTCAGGACTTGGTTCCAACCTTTGCATGTATAAAAAGGATTCTCTTTCGCTCTGGTTAGGTCAATTACAATAAATTCCTGGTCTTGTAAATTTTTATCAAGTATATTCATAGCACTTTGTTATATCATTAGGCAATTTAACTAAGTTATCATAAATACCACTTCTATTAAAGAGAACAATATAATCAAGATATTTTCTTATTAATTTTGGATAGTTAAAAAAATTATATTATACATACTGGAATCTGTTCGTGAGATAGTTGGAAGCAATATCGAACAGATTACTTAAACCAATGCAAAGAAAACCAAATTTCTTGAGCCTATACCGAAGAGTTTGTGAAGAAATGGCAGATATAATCGATAGTATGATTGAAAAAGAATTATTTAATATATCAGTGCGCAAAAGATTGCAAATAACAAAAAATATTGTTAGAAAGAATAGAAAAACACAATTATATATAGATCAATTTATTAGACAATTAATGATAACTACATCATTAATATATTCGTAGCATAAATATTTGCTCTTTATTTGTATTTTCAAACCTCAGTATTAAGAAAGAAAAATAAATTGTGCTTTTCTTCACTTGTTTATGTTGTGATTATGATTTCGGGATTTCAGAATACTCACGAACTTAACATCCTTTTTCACACAAATTCAATTCATGCATAACCTTTTCTTTTGCAAGAATTTAGTTTAAACCTAATACCTTCTTTGTTCTTGATGCATCCAGGATTTGAAACTAGTAAGTTTGAAGGGATTTGGGACCGGTTGATTTTCATATGTTAAAACCGATTAAAACCGGTTCCAAACACTAGTCTGACCAACCTTTTTACTTTTAAATTTAGATCACAGAGATGTTCACCATTTCAGCTGGAAAACAAAGCAAGTTAACACTGAGGATTCCTATTGCAGACGAAATTATTAAAATGAAAAAAGTATGACTATATTTGTCATAGAAATTGTATCGAAAAAATCTTTATGAAAGATATTCTAAAAATAAATAATAAACTTGAAAGCCAAAAAAAACTGGATTTTCTTTGGCGTCACATATGTTACTGTTATTGGATCACATGTAACGTGATCGTGAAAGAAATATGACGTAATTAGTATAATGCATGTTTCTCACGCGAGATAATGACGTATTCAACGTTATTTTTATACGATTTAAAATTTAATAGAATGACTAGAATTTCGAATTTTTGTACGTATTTTCTATTTTGGCACAATGAATTTACCAAGTATATATTTCGAAAGATAAAAATATCTGATGGACAACCTTAGATGAAAGAAAAATATATCCAATAAATATAGTTATATATAACGTCAACTTCATAGTTCCAGGTGCTATTTTTGGGTGAGATCCTATCTAATCTTTTGATAACGGAGGATCATAAGAATAATTCAATATTTTTAATAAATATTTGGAAGTATTTATAAATATTTATAGCACGACATTAAATCTACGTACATGATTTGTCCAGTATCTACATTGGATCACAAAGCAATATTGTAGATATGCCGATTTCTTGAAAGTCTTCACCACTAAAAAAAAAAAAAAAAAAAAAAGATTTTCGTCAAAGACGAGAGATTTCTCACTCCTATGTTTGAGCACCTTTTCAGCATCAATCTATCATTACAGGAAACTGGAAGTTATAAAGAACGTTCAATTGCCAAGATAATCAAGATAACTGTCCATGATTTACACATTTACACCGATGTGAAATTCCTAATCCTGTAGATCTGCGTTGTATGCTTTTCAACTCCCCAACAACACTAACTCCTTAACGACTGACTTATCAACATTGGGGTTATTACATGAAAGGTTGTTATAAAGTCGGCCCATATACCATAAACTATATTATCAGTCATATCGCTATATCATTGGTCATATCGATCTTATCATCGTTAAATATTTTTAATTTTGATAAATTAAATTTTCCTTCACATTTTGTTCTTCCTTTACATTCTGTTCTTTTTCCGATGAAAATGTACTAGTGTGCGAACTATTTGAAAAAAAAAAATGAATTTACTGTTTAATCACCATAAATGGATTGATCAAGTACCAACATTTCATGCTTTAATGTTAGTGGTACGTGATTCATCAAAATTATAGGAATAGCATTAATCAAATTATAGAACTAAGATTTCTAACCTTCAATAGATAGTTCAAGTTATTATAAAACCTGTAATTAATGATACGTACGATAATTATCTAAGGTGAAACTTCCGATTATAGGGGTCGTCTAAAATCTTAACTAAAATCGGATAAGTTAACTAATAGAAAGAGATGGATAAAATTATAATCATGTTCTTTTAATAATTCTCGACTTTAGACTTAGCAATGTTACGTACGTATACGTAAACGTACAGTAACATACGTACGTACATATCTAAGGAACGCCTGATTCTTACGTACGTACGTACATACGTGCATAATTCGTTAAAGGTCATATATGATTTTTCTAATTTTATATATAATTTAATTAATATATTTGGTAACCAAAAAAACATTCATTATCGTATACGTATTAGGTAATGCATATCCTGAAATGGAAATTGATCGATGCGAGACAAATAAAAAGCAAGAATAAGAACACGAGAACGTAAACTATTGTCCTGTGACCAATCAGTTTCAAATTTCAAATCAAATGTTGCACCAACAAGCAATCATGCTTTTCGTTTATGCATCAACAATATTTGTTAACAATGTAATATTAAAAGTATTCTATTTCTAATTTTCAATCACCTACGTATTACATAATTAAGTGATTAAACTAGCCAATTATGCTTCTTTATCCCCCAGAAAAGCTCGAAATAATGATTTAGTTTGGATATTGTTGTTAGTATAAAAGAAGCAAATAATCGAAATTTCCTTCATAACTATTTTGAATTCTATAACGATTATTTTAACGATTATTTTAACGACTTTTTTTTAACCACACGCTCCTTATACGATTTTATACTCTCTTCCTGATTAAATTTAACCTGATTAAATTTAACCTGATTAAACTTAACCTGTTTAAATTTAACCTGATTAAATTTAACTTACTTTATATCCGATTAATTTTATTCCTACACCAACCTTATCGCATTCCTACAATATGGTCCCCTCTCTTGCCTTAAATATTATCCTGATATCATCTTCCCTTTTACTTACTACTGTTCTTTTACAAACAAAAAAAGGTCATTTACGTTCAAAACGTGAAAAATCTTGGATACTAACCACAACCGTAACCTCAGTTGTTAGCTTGGGCACTATACCTTTTCTTTATCATGCCCTAAGAACTAAATGGGAATGGATCGAAAAATTCATGCCAAAAGAAAATGTCTTGAGCATAATGATATTATGGATTTTCTTAACTGAAGTAATAACTTTAGTTTTCGTGACACCGAGTTCCCAAACTCTTGTTACTACTTCTGAATCAACCACTTATTCTGAAATTTCTTCGTTAAAACATTCAAAAATTCAAAATTTTTGCATTACCACCATAATTTATCTTGCAGCAAGAATTTTATTTCATAGTTTATTGGTCTATTTTTATTGTCATTATCGTATTGGTCTGAACCATTATGAATTATTTGACAATAAAAATATTTTATCATCAAAGTCGAATTCTCAAAAAGAGAGAGATTATTCGACAGCAAGTTTATTTTCAGTAATTTATGCATTACAATGTTGGTGGTCACGTCAATTTATCAAGCAACAATTAAGTTTGAGAGATCAATTTAAAAAATCAAAAATTCTTCAAAGTATCTTATATGATCAAGATGAATTGAAGCGGGTATTGGATAATTTACAGCAAAGTCCTATAAAGAAGAATTTTCGAATGACAGAATCTAGGAATGATGATGATTCATATATGATACGAAAAAGGTTTAATAAAAGACAAAGAATGTTGCAATTACAACCTAGCGTTCCTACTATTTTTGAGGAAGATGAGTCTGAAGTGCTATTTGAATATGAATCTAATGAGATTACGAATTCGGAATATGGTTATTTAACAACTATAATTGAAGAGGATGAGGATGAATATGAGGATGAATCAGGTGATAGTGGATATAATAGTAGTAATGAAAAAGCTTCGGAACCGTACGATGAACAATGCTTTAATGTTAAAGGATTGGACTATTCTTCAATTAAACAATCTCCTCAATTCCTTACAACTTTATAAAGATAGTTGTTTTAAAAAAAAAGTTCATTTAACAAATATTGTTTTGGCCAATATTTGTTTTGCATCTAATCACATATTTATTTCTTTCTTGGGCATAAAATTTTGTATATATCTTGAGGGAGTTTTGTTTTTTTTGTTTTAATTTCTAGCTTATATTAATGCTTTAATTGTTTTTTTGGTACATTAATATAATCAGCATATATTTTTCATAAACAATAAAATTATCAATTATTTCTCATAACATAAATTTTAGAAAGTGACCTGCCTAACTTTTAATTTTTAATTTACCTAACAAAAATTTTTAATTCTTAATTATATTTTAAATTTTAATTACGTATACGTAAAAATCTCAATATCAGATATATATATATATATATATTAAAGATATATGTTAAATTATACCGGTACAGTGTGACACCTAACGCTAAAGGCTGAATTCAATTAATTTTTAACGTTAAGAGCTCATGACTTGTACACCACAAAATTTATGCAACGGGGTTCGTGTCACATCTACATTCACGAGAATTTTTCTACTCATTTAAATCATCTAACCACGTTAACCGTTTAATTCAGCTATATAGCATCAAAATAATTCTAGCTTATGACTAAAATAATTTTAACCTGGAACTATAGTATGTAACAATTTTTAAACAGTCAAACGGTTCCAATCCTTCTCTAACCATACATAGGCTTTGATTTATTTCTGTTGGAAATATATTACATAGCTTCATACATGCTAATATAACTAACCATAAAATAGCTTTTATTGTTTAAAGATTTAAATTTGTAATTTTTAATAATAATATATTATATATTAAATTATATATTAAAATTTTAATAATAAGATATTATATAATTGTTTTACTAAAATCTTTACATAAATGAATTAATATAAGTTCATTACGTACAAATTTACATACGTAACCAAAATTGAAAACCTTTTCCTGTGGATCCACCAAATACGTTAAGGTTTCCAGGATTTTAATTTAACGATACTTTTAATACGCAGTAAATTCTATACGTAGAAAGTCTCATAATTGCAATAAAAAAGAAATGCATGCATACATACGCACGCTATGCCCGTATGTACGCACGAACGCACGCATGAACGTACGCACGAACGCACATTGACGTATTTTCTTTTTGGAGGTTACAAATCGGGTTTCGTTTTATTTCTTTGAATATTATGTAAGTCTTTATAAGATTAAGGACTTAAACCTTCATGACATCGAGTAGTATCTATTAGAGAATTTATTTGGAAGAGAAAGAGATTAATCATTCTTGATGATTAAATTCTAATACACTAAGAATGTTAGTACTCTGAAAACATTAGAGGTCTATTCATTTGTCTAAATGAGTAAATTCATATTGAATAAACTAAATAATAATAACGATAATCCTGATAGAACATAAAATCTAAAATGCAGTCTTAATTATTGTTATGATAGCAATAATCCGTGAAAAATAATAAAGCATAGGATAAATGGATGATCATCCAAAACTCAACCGAATTCCAACTAAACAAATCTAAGACCTAAAATCTAATTTTGAAGTCTTGAGAGTGTAATTACATATAGGTGTAAATAAAGAATCACTAATGAAATGTTAGATGTTTATGTATTTTTCTATATATAGTTTTAAAAATACGTATATGCTAAATTGAAAATACTCAAGTTATCCTTTTATCTTTTAGAAATTTGTTTATTTGAATTGTTTGTAAATCGATCGATCCATCCAAATTAAATGTAACAATACATATATATATCGATATTGGTTATACATATTAGTATCATTACGTAGTATCGATGGTATCATTACGTACGTACGTAAAATCGATGTTGTAAGTGGGAATGGATTTGGAATTTCTTAGATTTTTAGGGTTAGGGTTTATATATATAACATAAACTCCACCTTGAAATACTAATTTAACTAAGAAATTCTTAACTCCTGTTCCATCGACATACATTATTATGAGCTAAAGAAAGTAAATATATAGTGTCAATAAAGGATACCTACTTGTCTATATTAATCCAATCAAAAGTTTTCTCAATAATCATCTGTTTATTATGTTACACCTGTATCTAACTATTTCGTATACGTACTAAATATTCTCAAATTTCTCATAATTTCAACCGATGCATTTTCACTGTTTCATCGAATGTAATTCGTTTTTATCTGTCACACTACGTAAAGCCAAGTTCTTGAACTTATAAGAGAATCAAGTTATTTTGCTTATGTACAACTATGGTAATATATTAAAGGTATTTAATTCAATTTAATTCGTTTATAGCCCTTGTTACATAATAGGAAATTAAGCATTAACTTTTTGCCTAAATTTTCCTAATAATGTAAATATTTAAATACTATGTATACATTACAAAAATGTACTTTATATAATATACATATAGTCTGTATCTCGAAACGTGTATTTTATTACAGCATTCAAATTAATGATGGAAATTATACAAATATGTGCGTCGAGGTGTTTACCGACGTTTTCACCCTTTTCTCCAACTTCATCTTTTTATGTCCTTTTTTTTTTAAAAAAAAAAAAAGTATTATTCAAAAAAAAAAAGCCTGTTTTTTTTTTGAGCAATATAAGAAGTTACAAGGGTTTAAACTGGAGTGCATGATATAACATTTGCTAACGCAAACGCAAAGAGAAAAGGAATTTGATTAATATCTAGTTTACTATCTACGTATTATATTTTATATAAATATAAATCTATACTTAATATTATCCATATCAATATTTTTTTTCTTTTATCTTGTTTAAAAAAATACTGAATCATTCCTCTCCACAAAAAAAAAAACAAAAAAAAAAAAAACAAAAAAATCTAATACTCAAAGAATTAATAATAAAAAAGAAAATGTGTAAAAGTCAACGACGAAGCAGTTTTTCGAACCTAGAATTTGTGGCTTGTGCTGCGATAATCTGTTGTTTTTCGCCATGGACAGTTGACGCACAAGATGATACCGTTAACTCTGCTAGTACTACAAATCTTACCGTTAACTCTTCTAATAAATCTAGTAAGTAAAAAGGTCAAAACCATTACTCGATCTTTGATATCCTTTACCGGCTACATTCAACAACATTCAATGATATTATATTGATTGAATATAATCTTACTTTTTAAATTTTAAAATAATTACCTAGCTTATTCATCCGCCTTAGCATTAGCCGATATATT